TGTGCTCCGTTGGAAGAGGTAGGAGTTTCACCCTCAAAATGGACGAGCCCATGAGATGGTGGCATATGCCAAACGGCTCATGATGCGTGGTACCGCTCATGATACCGTCTACATAGATGCATTCTGACACCGACTGTTCTCGCGACCGGTTCCGCCGCACAGGGGGATATCCACCTCCGATATGTTCCTGTTCGGTCGGACGTGCCTCCCGGAACGAATGGATCTGATCTGATCGCGGTCGATCGCAAGTCTCCACCGCTACGACGGCTTCGAACGGACATTCGTACGCTCCGATCGAATCTCAGGGACGTTCTTGGTACCGCCCCTTCCGCTAGCGATTGACCGTGCAGTTAAGAATCTTTTGGCTCACAGTCAGCGATGTCTCTCAAGTTGATAGAAGAGGTGAGTGAAGCATCGCATAGGACGGATATGACGCGAAGGCAATGATGGAAACTCGATCTGTTTCTCCCGCAGGTGGATGTCAAGAACGTTAAAGATTCAGAGAAAGGATACAGACCGCAGAGAAAAATCCCTCGTCACAGGCTCGAGTTCTACTCATTGATTTCTGCTCTCCGCTGAGACGTAAAATACCGTGAAGCCTCTGTGAGTCCGTGCCGACGTGTACGCGAAGACGGATTATTATTCAATGATTTCCCTAGTCGTACCTGCGGCGAGGAACATCCATGATCTCACGCTCCACAGTTGGCCCAGCGATAAACCTACGAGACAAGATCCTCGCACACCGAAAAAATTTGTCCTCCTTTCGTCGAACGAGCTCAAACTCCATCTAGCTCCCGAACAATGTCCAAACAATGTCGCATTGATGCGCAGCTGAGAGCGCATATCGAGAGCCCACTCACATTGGACAACCGAGGACTCACATAGAGTCGTCCGATTCGGCTCGAATAGCCGTCGCGGAAGAGGAAGACGCTCAATGAGTAAGAGCGACCGATCCCCAAACTAGGGGGGGGGCGCTCGTTCATGGTGGATGTAATAATCAGTGAAATCACGCAGACCTGAGGCTTGGCTAATTAGAGAGTTCATTGAGCAGGGAAGTCATACTTATACATGTTGATATTCCGAACGGGTTGGAGGGAGAATTGTGGAGAATGGCTCACCTGAAGATATATCCTCGCCGCATGTCCACAAGTAGAGCATTTTACCTAGTTCGTTCCCGAAAGGGATGAAGGAGACATTTGGAATGTTCGACATCATCAGGAAACTCCGGAAGAATCGAATGTAAAACCGAATTATGAAAAAAAGTGCAAGAACACCAAGAACGTAGAGCCAAAACATCGCCCCGGCTGCGATGGGATTTTCCCTTTTCTGCTCTCAACGGCAAGCTTACAGGGCGCGCAAAGTGGCCCTCAAACGCACACACCACTAGCGCCAGGAGCCACGTGCTCGCGTATTTGTCGCGGAACTGGGCGAGTGTTCACAGAAATAGTGCCGCAAGGTCGCATCGGGACACTTGTGCGACCGGCGAGTTTACTGAACAATGTAGAAAGGGTCTCGCAGGAAATGTGCCCCTTTTTGGAAATCGCTCCGGCGACCAACTTCAGAGAGCTGTATCTCCGGAACGGTTGGTCGTAGAGCGACGATCGGAGGCGCGTTGGAAAGCTGAGTCTGAGAGCTACCATTTGCGCTAGTCAGATCGGGAAAAGGATGAGTTGGGACAGAGATATATGACGATTTTCACAGATCGAAAACTATATCGACGATTTCGCTGATTTTTCTTTTGCGCGCTGTTTTCCGCGAAAAAAGACTATGTGCAAAGTTTCAGAGTGGCTGCTCAACTGTAAGTATGTTTAAGTACCCGAGAACCCTTTTTTCATTGAATAAGCCCAATTGGATCTAGAGAATGGTACCTCCAACGGAGGTACCATTGGTCGTACGGAGCCGAAGAAAGCCGCTGTGTAGCCGATGAATCACCGCAATGATGTAATCACATGAGCACGGGTAGACCGCGGACTCGGGCTCAGCGATTCGTCCCAGCATCGGACCCTAGCACGATAAGGAATTTCTGCGTAATGGGGACTCCACTACGCAGTGGAGTCATGGTATCATGGACTCCACTTATTCGAGGCTCGCAGAAACTAGCCCACTGATGAGCATTCCGGAGCCCTCCTTCGGATGCTTAACCGAAATCCATGAGGCAGTCGCCAGATATCTGGAATGATCTCCCCGGGGTACTCTGACGCCTCTCCATACCGTCCTCTAGATGGAGCCTCCGCAAGCCGAATGGTGGTAGAATCCAATTGGGCTTATTCAATGAAAAAAGGGTTTTCGGGTACTTAAACATACTTACAGTTGAGCAGCCACTCTGAAACTTCGCACATAGTCCTTTTTCGCGGAAAACAGTCCGCAGAAGAAAAATCAGCGATTTTGTCGATATAGTTTTCGATCTGTGAAAATCGTCATATATCTCCGTCCCTCGTGATCCCTTTTCCGATCTCACTAGCGCAAATGGAAGCTCTCAGACTCAGCTTTCCAACGCGCCTCCGATCGCCGCTCTACGACGAACCGTTCCGGAGATACAGCTCTCTGAAGTTGGTCGCCGAAGCGATTTTCAAAAAGGGGCACATTTCCTGCGAGACCCTTTCCAAACGAAGGGACGCGAGCGTCGATCCTTTAAAGGAAAAGAGAGAAGGCAACTTAAGACGCTGCAGGTGGGATGCGATGCCGCGAAACAGTGCCGAGATTTCTTCGATGCGATCGGTGCATACCGTCGCACCGCAAAGGATTTCGACTCCCCAGCTTTCTTTTTTTTCCGGGGCCGGATAGAGCGAGTCTATATCGCTTGAAGCACTTTCTCGCTCCCTCTTCGCTCGTCGCCTCACGCAATTGTTGGATACCATGAATTCGAACACTGACTGGAAACGGCCCGATCCTCGACGAGTTGATGTTTAATTGCGAATAGGGCCTCCCGGAAGTGGTCGGGATCGCTGTCTCGCCAAATGTGCTGGACATCCTTCGCGACTGCGGATGAATGGGGAAAAAGCATTCGGAGCTTTTGCGCCATCATGCCAAGTTTCCCCAGAAGCAAATATCGCTCGGAAGGGTCTACTGGACATACTCATGCCCGAGCAGAGATAGAGGCCATCGTCCCTGAAGTCGGCGATGAGAAAGCTCCACTCCACTATCGACGGGATTGTGAGCGGACAGGAGACTCTGATCGCTCACTAAGACTCTGACGGTCGACGCGAGCTGGGTCCGCGATCTGCTCCCTCTTGCTCAACACGTATAGTTTCAGCGAGGTGCGGAGGTTGATCACGGAAGACTGGAAAATGCAAAATTATGGAAGAGCGAGTTTGATACAGTACAGTGTGCATGACGTGGTTTCGGAGCGCGGTGGCGCTTGCGAGAGGATCATGAAAGCACCCATGGACCATACAGCGACGGAGGGCAAAAATATTCGCCACTCTGATCATCACGGCTCGAGATGGTATTGGAGGAGATTCTCGCTCGGACACGATGTGCGAACCCGAATGAGAACATGCGTTCACCGTCGTTGTGATGCTCTCTCTGATCTTCTGATACTCCCCGTATCCAAAAGGTAAACACAGGCGCTCTCCGGGAACAACGGACAGCGGTGACCGAAAAGATTTCCGAAGCTCCGGACGTTTTCCATGGGATGCCTGATCGATAATGGCTCTTTATTCAATCCGGGCATCTTCTATTGATGGCTAATGATCTCTCTAGAATCGAGGAGAGGGTGAAAAGCTTGCCTGTGGGCTTCTCCTTTCCAATAGCCGAGGCCGAGCAAGTATGAGGGCTAGATTTCAGCGTCCTCCCAAACTTCTCGATCTATCTATAGAAATGGAAGACTTGTGGTGTTTATTCGCAACCAGATACATGCTGAACTAGCCGGAGCCTGTTTCGAATAATTATTCCGCGTTTTCGGCCAGTGAAGCCGAGGCCGCAGGTTCTCCACAAAGGTGTCCTGCTCGCTTTCGTGGGAAGAATATCGATTCGAACCTGGAGAAAGATACCGTGTATTATCTGGATAGCCGCGGACTCCATCACGGAAGACTGGAAAATGCAAAATTATGGAAGAGCGAGTTTGATACAGTACAGTGTGCATGACGTGGTTTCGGAGCGCGGTGGCGCTTGCGAGAGGATCATGAAAGCACCATGATCCTCCATGCCGTACCGAGTTCGGCAGTCAATTATGTCGCATCGCTATATCTTATTGTAGCAACACAGTATGGGACTTCGAAACAGACCGTTGGAGAACTTGGGCAGCGCTTCATCCAGGTGGAGTGCTCCTGACTGCCTACGGGGCCGAGATTCTCTCATGGAGAACCGCGGGCTGCGACGAATCAAATACCCAGAGTCATTCTCCGACCGAAAAAAGAGAAAAGAACCACGTCCGCGTCGTAACGTGCTTTTGGCGCTGACCGATGCGAGATAGCTATCGACGACACTCGGCGGGCCTCTGCGAATTGCTCCCGCAACGATGTCAAATTGCTCCCGAATCGACCCAAATTCCAGATGCTCCCGGATGATCGCTGAATCTGTCTCATTAGGCGCTCGACAGACAGACAGCCAAGTGAAATTCCATAGGCATTACATAGAGGATCGGTCCCGAGCGCATCTCCGGCAGATTCCCCCGTCGTCAATCAGTCTTAGATGCTGGATTCTTCCTATCAACCGGGACGGCTGTCTGCAACCTTTGAGTGAGATGCTTCGTGATCCTACTGGCTCGACGCGGGAATTCTTATCAATCACCGACGATCTCGGGGTATATTCGTCGGTTCAATATCTCAGTGACGCCCGCCGCCTACAGTGCGCTCTCCGATGGACTTCGACGGTGGTCTCGCGTCGTCGATAAGTTGATGATTCCTGCGCAGTTCTCAGGTCGGGTGTGGAGCGCGATCCCGACTCTGAACTTGCTCGACGGGAACCCGCTTCCCATTGTCGTCCACAAGAGATCTCGGATCTTGGTTTTCTCTTTCAACCTGATCTCAGCTCTTCGAAACACATTTCTGCCGGTACAGCAAGGTGTGCGATTGAAACATATATTTTCGCTGTTTTATAATCAGGCACTATCGCATTCATGTTCAGCTGTACAAATCCTGTACTAATTTCGAGGCTCGCATTCGGTCCAACTGCGTCCCCATCTGGACGTGAGATCTCTATCGCCGGACTCACTCAGAAAATATTCACCACGTCGCCCTGACTCACTTCCGTTGCGGTCAGGCTTCTGACGCAACTTCGTCGACCATCTAGGCCGTGTTTGACGATATTGGCCTACGAACATTCCGCAATGCGATCCGATGTAGATTATCTGGCAACTCTATTGATGTTCGTTCAACCAATGCTAGGTGGAAGCATAGGTGGAACATAACTCTTACGTGACTCAGCTCTGGGATAAACGCGCTCGGCTGGAGGCTGGAGCCTGGCCGACCGTCTCTGAGAATCATTTCGACAAATCTGCCTTTCTTGAAAGCCCCGAATGAAGCGACATGGACAACATCAAGGAAGACGCTTGAGCTCTTTCTCTGTTATGCTTAGCAGCGCATCTCAACTACTCTCCGAATCGACAAACACGACACAGTACCCGCGTTGCAATTGGAGTCGAATGCTCCTGGAACTTCTCGCGGAGCATCCTCTCCGGTTCCGCCGCGTGGAGCTGTATCCCCTGAAGACCCGACTCAAGAGTAGTGGTCAGATAGCGGCAAATAGGCGGAAACACGCATGCCCGATTAAGCTCATGCATTCCGATGAGATCACTGATATACATATATGGTTCAAAGAAGCAAATTCGCACAGCGATACGTAAGAATACATGAGGTGTCTAACGTCTCTAGATTGATTCGGGGACCCAATAAACTCAGAATGAGGAGACATTAAGGTCTCCCGAGACATGAAGGGATGGACTCTCAGATTCCAGTACAATGTAGAATGGAAGCTTATGGTGAGCAATAACATGGCGTGAGTAGCCGATAGAGGCCCGCGCTTCCAGTTTTCAAAATCCCCTAGCGTAGGCATTTCTTTGAGATGGGGCTACGACTCGAGGTGGCTTGATTCCTTCAAGGGAGGATCAAGGCCGAGTACCTGCATATTTTTCCGGTAGCAGGGATCGAACCCGCACCGCCTCCCGCGCGAGCGCCGTACATTTGCTCCATGGATCCGTCCTCGGAAGCAATGTGAGTAACAGTACCCGGGACGTTAAACCTTGGCTGTGTGGATTAGCCCGAAAAAAATTCGTTTCCTTCCAGGGAGAATCCTTGAACGCTAGGAGGATTCGTTGCCTCCCGTGAACTGTCTCGACCCGGATTCATCGGAAGCCATGTCCAAAAGTTCCGCGTATCAGCGACCGAACATTCTGAGAGTTTCACACAGAGACAAGATATTTCCGGACGGACTCCTCTATTTTATTGTCGGAACCGAAAATGTCAAGAAGAATGAGCAAATCTTTCATCACAATGGAATGAAGTCCACCGTCAAGTCATTCTTTGCGCGCAGTATCATTTCCTCAGCGACCACGATGCTGCTCAGGGGGACTTTGCTGCGTATCTCGAAGTTCCGCAGGATATTCACTAAAAGTATGCGGATTTCCTGCAAGAAGTCTCATTTTTACTCGATCGGCGGCGCTCTGCTCTTCCAGATGACGGAGACTGATGTCGGGGGACCGCTGGTACGTATTGTTATCCCCAATGGAATGCAATAAGTACTTTCGTTACACACCATCCAGGCGAAGCGCTGTCCGATGCAGCTCCTTGCACCGGCAGAAAAGGGGATGTAAGCGTAAGCATTGCGCCCCGCCACGTTCTCGGGGAGGAATCTGTCCGGATCGAATTTCTCGGGATCGGGGAACACAGCCGGGTCTCGATGGAGGGAGTATATCGATACAGAAATCGATGTATCCACTGGTAACTTGTACTTTCCTGCAATTCGGCATCGATTCATTCGGATAATCCCAACCGAAGTGATCTCACAGACCGTTGGGACTATTCCACAAATCGATCTATACCTAGTCACCAGAATCCGAATGCTAACCGAGCTTGGCACCATCCGCGGTGCAACGGCGGCCTATCTGAGGCACGGATGGGTAAAGCCTCATGCATTCTCTCAGAACTCTGTCGAAGTATCTCAGCTCCCTCAAGTCCTCGTATGACCTGAGGCCGACCTTGTTTTCACCGAGAACGGAGTCGAATTCATCTCGTAGTTTCGCCTGAACCTCCGGGAGGTGGCCTAGTTGGAACAGACTCCAGGAGATGGCCCATCCAGTGGTGTCGAAACCCTGGTGAAAGTTTGAAGGTCAATCGAGCGTGGACGCAATACTGAGAGATGAGGAATCATGATCGAGCAAATTACAGTCGATGGTGACGAATGATGACGACCGGACAAATGACGTACAGCGAACATGAAGGTTTCGGTCTCGTCTCTAATTTCTGCGATTGAAAGCTGCTCTCCCTTGAGGTACAGGCCGACAAGAAGGTCGAGGAAGGCGAGTTTCCGGTTCGGACGTGCCTCCAAACGCTCCGGGTGCTCCCTTAGCTCAGTTATTTTCTTCTCGATGGCCTAGGAACGAGTCGTGATTCCGACGAGGCGGGGAAAATAAATTCTCGCTCGTCTCCCTGATGCTCATATCTATTCTGCGAGTATTCGTCGGGGCCCGGAGCAGGAATCCGGAGCATCAATAGCTCACCTTGAGCGTGAAATCGTGGGCATTCCTCACTGCACGAAAATATCTTTTGCCGTCTGGGGTCCTCTTATACAAAGAGTCAACATAATTCCAAGGACGAGAGAACCTCTGAGCGAAGAGAGTCGCAAGCCTGCAGAAGCTCAAAAACTTGAAACGGCTCATCTCAATGTAGGTGGACGATACGTCGTCGGAATGCGCGAATGAGAGAATTTTTTTTTGACACTCACTCGTTCAGATTATCGGCGTAGGCGCGCTGTGCTTGCCGATCCGTTAGCTGTAATCCCATCACGGTTTCCAGGATGATATGGATCGTGCATTCTGTAGCCCATTTGGGTAGATCGATGTCGACGGAATTCGACGGATTTTCCCTCATGGTTCTTACGACACTTGAGAAACGGTCTATCATCGCAGCTCCGAAATCATCAAGAATTTGGAAGTGGAAAGAAGGCGTAAGCAAGCGTCGATGGCTTCTCCAAATTGATCCGCCACTGCGGAGAAGAGACCACCCTTGTAGAACGTCTCGCCCAATGGTTTTGGACCTTTTTTTCGATCAGGGGAATTTCGAGCTGCCGCGGAGAGCCGTCGGCTGCCACAAACCGACTCATCAAGCGTTGGGGTAATTGTACTAACCTGGTGATCAGGCCATCACCCAGCCAATTTTTCAAGAAATCGTAATAGAGTCCTTTCTCAGCGAAATGAGGTGAGTTCAGAACTTCCCTGACCAGTTCTGCTTTGTAAACGTTCATGACAGGAGTCATTCCCATCATGTCGATCACGATGCCTTCGCTTCTGAACTTATTCACGAGTCGTTTTCGGAAGTCGAATACGGCTGGGAAAGTAGCGAGAAAAATTGAGCCTTTGGCACTCGGATTAGCTGCTCAGACGACTACGGTCACAGAGCCGGGCAGCCCTTGTTTTCTTGGGGATGCTCCGCTTTGACACCTCGATCGAAACCTCATCGATAGCCTTCGGCCCCGGGTCCCGTCGGGGAAAGCAACTCATGCTGGCCCAGCTGTTACCAATTTTGAGGCTTGACCCACAAAAATTCTTAATGACTATGGGTTGACTCACAGTGTCCAGACCGGACGCTGGAACAATGACCTAAGTATTCTGTAACTTGGCGTAAGTGCAGTGACCGTCATAACTACTGAGAACGGATTGCTGACTTGACCCTTTCCAGCACTATATGAGGCATAATAAAGAGCGCTACTATGGGGGAGCCTTTGGTATTTCACTTCAAGCACTGTTCGTCTTAATCAGCCGATGTCCCAGTTGCATCAAGCGCAGCAGCGATTCAAGCTCACCGCAGCCAGAGCTAGTAGGCTAGATAGCCGAGGAAACCTATCAGTCAGAACCTTGTTCGAATTGACTCTTGGAATTATCGCGATAAACCGAAATCCACCATGGAACGTCCGTTCTCCGGAGCTATAAATTCTGGAACATGAGCTTCAAGTTCCGCGTAGGCTTCAGGTCACTGGACCTGTTTACAATGCGATTTCCGAGGATCGCGTTTGCAAAATTAGCGAATATTCCAAGGTAGGAGCGAATTCTAGGGGCTTATCCCGGGCGGCATCGGGTCTAATCACGCTTGTGCCCGAGCTATAGGGTCCGACTTATAGGCGCCCGAGCGTAGGTGGAAATATCTTTCCTCTCGATCAGATGGGATGGTGACAACACATTGAAGCGGGAATTCGTCGTCGGACCGTCCCAAGTCCTCGCGTCACGATCTTCGGGGAGTTCGCATCGACTTCAATCTATGTGGGTGGGCTCCCCTTGGTGGTCGGACAGTGAGCCCTCTAGCGACCCAGAGGAACTCGAAGCGCTCGAAGTGATTTTCGGAGCAGAAAGGCTCGGAAATCGAATGTCAGGAGCTCACTGGTCGCAGTAACGAGGTCGAGCTCTGAACGCCGAGTTCCGGATGGGCAGGGTTTCTTCGACTCGACCGAGGTCGGTTGCATCGAACGTAATGTGAACGTCATCTGGCTATTTTCCGAGAAACGCTCACCCGCATTGGTATCCTTGTCGCTAAGCCAAAATTCGATCAGAGCTTTTAGGTCGTTCGTGAACGGAAAAATCGTGGCGTTTGGCATGTCGAACACCATCAGAGTGTTCCGGAGGAACTTGAAGCAAAGGCGGGATATGTGAGCCAAGATTAACACACCGAGCGCGTACAGCCACCACATGGTGAATGCCGAACTTTCCGAAACTCTGTAACCCGCAACGCGTCGAACGAAACCATTCGCTTATGTTTCAAACGCCTATGAGCGATATGAGTAGAGGGAGAAACATCTGCCGTCGACGTGCATCAGGGAGCTTGTGAGATATACGAGTCATGGCATCACGATACACAGGAAATAATTCGCGAGGAATTGATAGCGCGGAAGCGGGCATATTGCGGCAAAGCGCGATCTTTTCTGATTCATGATTCATGAGAGATCTCCGGACATGGATGAACGTTTCCTCGACGTGATTGAAACTCTAGGTCTCTAGGTTCAAGTCATTTGCGATACATTCATGAGCGGTATTTTGGCTGTGTGGAGATTCATCCCTGAAAATCCGGACCGATCTCTGACGATCTTCGGTACTGAGATCGGGCCTGCGTCGGCGCCGCCCCGTATTTCTGGTCAAGCTCTCCGGGCCAAGGCTTGTCCATCCTCTTCGATCCATTGGTGGAGATCGAGCTCCCAGAATTCTCTCGTTCCTTCCAGAACATTGAGTCCGCCCCTATGACGCACCAGAAGCTTCGAAGTCTCTCGGTTCGAAAAACAGAGATTGTAGATGAAAGTTGTTGCCGGGATGCTCCGACAGGCAAGGCTGGGGAGAACGTGAGAACAGGACCAAAGTTACGGAAGGGAAGCCTCACATTGGCGTTCAACGGAGCAGCTGTATATCTTGTTCGCCTGCGCGCCAGGGAACAGAATACTGACCGGAACGATACATCTATGTTGGAGGAGAGCCTGAATACACGCATGTGGAAGCTGAGTTTTATTGCCCGACACAGAATCCTTATCTCGGCCAGATGCTCGAAGAGTTATATCAGGTTGGTGAATATCCGGCGCGTATGACGAGCAGCAATGTTACGAACATCTGTCTGCTTACCGCTGTAAGATCTGCTCCTTCTGCGATGGCTTGACGAACACAGTGAAATAGTCGAGTTATTTGAATTACTCCTGGGGTCGGGCTCCTGAGGCTTTCGCGTGGTCAGTCGTGAGCTCGACTTATACAACCTAGGACAGCTCAGAACAATTTTTCTCCGAAATAACCGCGGCGTAGGTTCAACCCCCATGATGGAGCTGAACTTGGATGACAGACTGTATTGAATAATCCGGCAGCTCCCCGGCGGTAATCCAAGAATGAGACAATTATGATGAGAGGGTTCCGAAAGGACTGAAAACCAAGCGACCTGATACGGTCGGCTGACGAATGATGACATGGCGCGGTCAGAGCAGCGTTTCTCGCGCTTCCGGGGGGAAGACCAGGATCAGAAATATCGCGACTCGCGGCGCTATGCCATCGTGTGCCTCTATCAGGACTGCCACGCTATTAAAGACCGCCCAGAGATGCGCACGACATCTCCATTCCGCATCCGAACGCTTTCCACTAGATGGGCCCTCAGTTTCGGCAATTCCCGAAACTTCTTCACTCCAGAGGAATGAAATCGACAATCAAGTCTTGCTTCGCGCGCAATATGATTTCACCGGCGATGTCGATGCTCTCCAAGGGGACTTTGCTGCGTATTTCGAAATTCCGCAGAATGGCCACTAGAATGATGCGGAGCTCCTGCAAGGTCCAAAGGTTTAGACCATCTACTGAAGCCCCGACTCAATCACAGCGAACTTCTCAAGCCACCGGTCATGGTATTCGTCACGATGGTGAAAATTTGCAACCTACCTGTAAGGCGAAGCGCTGTCCGATACAATTCCGCGCCCCGGCAGAGAATGGTATGAAGGCGTACGGACTTCGTCCTTGGGCCCTCTCAGGGAGAAATCTGTCCGGGTCGAATTTCTCCGGATCGGGAAACACCTCAGGATCTCGATGGAGCCCATAAATGGACACGACTACCGTCGCGTCCATCGGTAGTTTGTATTTACCTGAGGGGTTCAGAGTCGGTTCACCCATATATCCCGGAACATGGGGTCGGAGAAGAAGAAATCTCTCGCTGAGCGGTTCTCCCGTGCCTGTCACGCTTACCGAGCCTGGCTCCGTCGAGGGCGCAACGACGACTCACACTAGGGACGGATGGGTAGCGCCTCATGCATTCTTTCAAAACTCTGTCAAAATACTTCAAATCCTTCAACTTGTCCTGAGTCAAGCCGCAGGTACTGTCCTTCCCAAAGACGAGCAGAAACTCTTCTCGGAGCTTCGCTTGAACCTCGGGTAAGTGCCCCAGCTGGAACAGAGCCCACGCGATCGCCCATCCAGTGGTATCATGGCCCTGATTGAAATGGATAGATTTTCACAACAAGTATTTCGGATCGATGGAGAGCAGCGAAAGAAGGATTGAATCACCATTCTACTGCGAAGGTACATACGCATATACATATACATAAATCACTGAACACTGAAAAGGCCACATACTGCGAACATGAAGGTGTCAGTCTGTTCTCTGATCTCTTCAATCGACAGCTGTTCTCCCTCCAGGAAGAGCTTCACGAGCATGTCGAGGAACGCGGGTTTTCGGCCCGGACGTGCTTCCATGCGCTCTGGGTGCTCTTTGAGCTCCAGGACTTTGTTCATGATCGCCTTAAACGGAAGAGCCTTGAGAGAGCCCGACCGGAAGATTTCCAACAGAATGCCTCCTCCGAAAAACCGCAGAAGCTCTCGTGAAATCTTTTCGGACTCGATCCAGATGTTCAGAAGCCCCGTCCTTCGTGTACCTTGAGCGTGAAATCATGGCTCTTCGCTACCGCGCGTAAGTATCTCTTGCCATCTTCGGAGTTGAAATAGAAAGCGTCGATGAGATTCCATGGTCGCGAGAACCTCCTCATGAGCAGAGTAATCAATCTATGGGAGGTAGAAAAATGAAAGGAATAGTTCCTGGACGACGACTACAGCACATCCCGATGCATGGACATGGGGGGTTCTTCTCGGATTGCGACGGGCTAGTCGAGACTCACTCTTCTAGGCCTTCAATATATTCCCGGCTCGCCTGCGGGTCACTCTGCTCGAGTCCCATAACGGTCTCCAAGAGGATGCTCATTGTGCAGTCTGTTGCCCATTTCGACAATTCGAAGTCAATCAGATCTGCCGGATTCTCTTTCATCATCTTTATGATTTTCGAGCTATGATCGATCATTATCCCTTCGAACTCATCGAGAATTTTGAAGTGGAAAGATGGTGTCAGCATGCGTCTCTGAGTTTTCCAGGTAGGTCCATTGCTGCGGAAACGCGGACACCCGTGAATGGAAGACCGATGGCGATCAGAAGGCTCTGATCGTTCTGGTTAAGCTCACTTTGAATCTCGGGAAGTGCCCAATCATAGCGGTAATCCGACGCTCTCACCTAGTGATCAATCCGTTGCCCAGCCAATCCCTAAGGAAATCATATCCGAGGCCTTTGTCGACGAAACTCGGAGATTTCAAAACTTCTTCAACGAGTTCCGCTTTGAAGACCAACACCAAAGGTCTCGATCCAGCTGAGCTGCGCGCGATCCCTTCTCTTCTGAACTGATTTATCAGTTTTTCTCGCATTTTAAATACGGCTGTGTGAGAGTTGGACCAATCTTGATTTTGTTCCGATGGAGGGTGCTCCCCACGCCCTGAGGGGGCTCGCTTGAGCGAGTCAAGCAAGCACGTCACTTGAATTTTTTGATCGAAGTGTCTGACGACTCACCAATGGTTGTTTCCTTGTCGCTCTGACACAACAGTAGCAACTTTCGAGAGGTTTCTACGAACGGGAAGATCGACCACGAAGAGCTGCCGGGCAAATCTTTCACCATCAAGGAGTTTCGCAGATGCTTGAACCATTTCCGTATTGTGTAAGCTATCGCTACAGCACCGAAGGCCCAGAGCCACCACATGGTGGGAGCTGCGTGTAGCGTCGCTAGCACAGTGAGAAGACCAGACGAGCTTTTTGGCGAGTCGAGTGTTCACGCCGTCAGGAGTCGCTGCGGTGTTTCAGAGGCTTAAAGAAGCTCAGTCATTGATGATTTCCTCGTTGTTGTCAGTCACCGTTATCGGTCGCAGGGCAGCACTTGTTTAGAGTGGAGCTCGAAAGAAGATGTCGATGACTGGCAAGTTTTAGAGCATACAACCTCCTGATGGCCCGTAAGCCATTCTCCGGAGGAATGGGGAGGACCTCTTGGCTGACGGGAAGTCACTCCGAGGCTAGGAGGTAGTGGTCTTCTCGTCAGTTTCGGAGTTGTCTTGGATCGCACCGAGGGAACACAACAAAAAACCATAATCATTATCTCGCCGAATTTACGCTTTCGAATGCCGCCCTGCGTATTCGATGAAGCTTCCGTCGCGGCATCAGAGTGAGACTGAAGGGACTGGGACCAACCCCAGTCAACGCGAGAGCGTCGGATACCCAAGTTGTCACAGCGGTCCTACTATCGCATGTCGATTTGCCTGACACGAATAATCCGGAGGGGGGCACTGAGCCATTCTCTATCGGAACCGAAATTCTAAACCGACATCCCCTTTGATTATCATGAATATGTGAGAACTTGTGAGAAGAACCGTACTGTTTCATTCAGTCGCTTGCGCCGCGTGGCGTTGTTATAGAAAATTTTCACGAACGGAGCGGAACAATCGTGCCGCGGAGGACATCGCCCATCTCTCAGAGAGTCATCCGAGACGTCTCTTGTGAAAGTCTGCACCGATTCGCTACGCTAGTCGCAGGAGGGAGCATTGAAAGCTTGCGGCGATACTTGATAACAGGTCGGAGCCGGGTTTCCGCGATGCCGTCCGCATATTCGCGGTAAGGCTTGTTTGTGATTTGCCCTGGCCCCTCGGAATCGGATATCCGGCGAGAGTGAAATGTGAGCCAGAAGCCTATAGGTAGTCAGAGCATAGCCCGATTATGAATGGCCCGCATCTGTAAAATATCGGCACTGGGACTGATTACTGAGCCGACTCCGGGTCCGACAAGAACAATGAAGAGAGAAACGATGAGATGAGACAACATATTGTATTTATTCATGTATCGCGAACCTGTTTGCAACCTCTTATACGAGGGAACTCCATCGTGTTCGCGCGAGTCGACATGACGACTTGCAGAGCACAAGAAATCCTGTTTGTTGCGAAAGATCGTGATTTCTGGCTTGGCTCGACTTATCTTAAAGAGAGCTCTTCGAGGCTCCGTCCAATTGTCAGACAGATCCTGTACATATTGGTCCTTTCTCGGAGTCTCCCAGCGATGAGCTCATCCATGTCTTAATTGGTTCCGTTCTCCATCTACTTATGATGCGTTGCTCCGTGTGTATGGGTCTGAATCTCTAGCGTCGGCGTCGCCTCAAAGAGGTCTGTACTCGGGTGGAAACTTGACGCATAGGCTTCGTTCCGTATTCGACGCGCAGTGCCGCCAATCGAGATTCGTGAATGCCTGGAAACAGAACACGTTCCTTGGTCATGCCGGGAGCGCTCAAATCTCATTAGCACTCACCTCGCCCAGTCACAGTCAGTACGCACCTCGATGAGCTTCTTCTCAGTTTCCTGAGTGGGTTTGTCTTCTTGAACTTTCAGGAGGAGTTTGGCGAGGGAGCCGTACAGTTTGTGTTTATTCAAGTACTTCTCCACGAATGGAGCGCTCCTAGTTTCTTGGATGGGGTCAACCCAGCGTTGCAGCTCCGCGTAGAGCGCTTCTAGCTCTACCTCGAGGTTCTCGTCGTCGGTTGAACTGACGCTTGGCTTCAGCGAGAGCAGGTTACATAGCGCCTCTCCCTTCTTTGTCAAGACATCGATGACCAATTGCTTCTGCTTCTCGAGCCTGGAATTCGGATGCATATATCATTCCAGGCATTACAGGGACCGCCCCTAGGCTCCGTTCGGCTCCCTCGATCGAACCACGAGACACGAAGAATCACGGCACTTACTGTTTTCCGGCACCGTGATCGTTTTTGTCCTGACGACATCCGAGACCCAGGAGGAGCTTCTCAGGATCGACGTTCGCCAGAATTTGGTCGGCCAGCTTGATGGCCTGCCTGTTGTTCTCCTCGATATCCTCCTGTAATTTTTGAATTCCTCTCAGCTTGGCCTTGCTTGGTTTCCGCGCTTTCTTGTCGCCTTCCCTCGACCCATTAGGGGGTGGAGCGCCTTTGAGTTTCGACGTTTCATCTCGCCTATCGTCTCCTCTCTCTCGGTTTCTCTTCCCGGAGGTTGCTCCAACAGCCACGGCAGCCGCACGGGCCAAAAGCAGCCTCGATGCGGATCTCTGGTCCAGAATCGAGGGGAGAAGAATTAGAGTGGCGAAAACATTCCCCCTCAATAATTTGAGACACTCACGCATTCGCTCTTGAGCAGAGACTGGATCTTGGCCAGCATCAGCTGATTCGCCTTAGGATTGGACTCGATGAGCTCCTTGTACATGGCTTCAGCCTTTTCGCTGCCTTTGGAGAGATGCTGTCCGCACAAATCGCAAGCGGCTTCTTCGAACTCTTCATCGGGCGTCTTCTTATCACTTTCCTTAGACTCCTTCTCGCCTTTTTTCTTTGCGCTCAGTTCGCTAACGTAGTACCGGAAGGGGAAGGTCGCTACTTTTTTGCCTTGCTCATCGGATGTCAAGACAAGGTTTCCTGGAATGACAGGAGAACTGCTCATGTACAAATGTACTCCCCGAAAAGCGGGAAAATCGTGCGGGCGTACGCATCTTTCCCGCTTCTGACGCGATATTGAATGTTTTCTCCGGAGGTTCACCTTGTAGGAAATGACCCGCCGCAACACCCTTTGGCATTTTGTCGGCGGGCGGATGGCCGACGTAGAAGGCACGTTCGTGATTTGCAGGTATGACGGAAGCAGAAGCTTTTTTCCCTTGGATGAGCGCTTGATCGGCTTGGGAGTATACGTCCAGATTCAATGGCGAGCTAAGCTTGATCATCACGTGCAGCGGTAGGTCGGAAGTGACCTTCTCCAGCAGATTCCGATCCTCGTGGCGCACTTGGGCAATGACGGTGTACTCTCCCTTCTCTAATTTGACGGAATACTGAAAACACATAACTGGTCATGAGCAGCAACCCCCAAACTGATTCGACCCTTCATCCGGGAGCGGAGCGATCGTCGTTAACTTACTCTGTTCGGGAAAGCGTCCCCACATGCCAAGAACTGTTTGTTCTGGTTGAACAGCATCCAGATCTGAGAGTTGAACTCGCTCTCGTAGAGGTAATTGTAGAGTAAAGGAAGTCCGATTTGAGCTTCTCCGGCCTTGGCCTGGAAGATTCGAGGGACGCGATATGACTTTCCACGCTGAACAATGATTCGTCGCTCTGCAGTCTGAATATTCCATTCATGGAGGGAGATGAGAAACATCCGAATGAGTACCGACCAGATTAAAATTGTAAGTGAGGCTGTTCGCATGGACAATCCTTCCCTCTGGAATATAGTCCCGGGAGTCCCCCGGCGCAATTTTGCTCTTGGTTGGCTTCAGAACCATGACGTGCTGTTTGAGGCTTATCTGCGGATTACATTCCTGGGGTCCCAGAGATGCGGAAACGTCGAAACGCCCGATGCCCTCACCCGACGTGAAATGTAAACTGCTGCTATCTGGCTGAAGTCCGAAGAACTGAATGCTCCAGGTCACCATGAGATCCCCGAATGACGCCCACCATTTCGACAAGCATATTTCGAGGGTTTTGTCGGGCAGGACTTTGATCGGATAGCTGACTTCGCCCTGGGGTTGCAGAATAGGCGTTTTTGTGAACTGGTTCTCGGGGTAAGCTGAATCTTTTCTGAATTGCATAGTATGGATGTTCACGGTGCCGGCGTTGGTCGGACACAAGGATTTCATCTTCATCAGGCACCAAGTTGCGCCGCTCGGGACTGCGATGAAAGTCCGGTTCGGAACTCCAGGTTTGAGCAAGACCGTGTCGGATATCGAGTTCGAATCTTTCGGCAGTCTGGGGGGAATCAATTTCCTCTCGTTAGGATTTCAACTAGATTCGAGCTGGAGGCTGGTCCCGTCACAGACCACCGAAGAAATGAAGGAATACGGAGGAACTTACGCTCGGGGTGTGATCACGGTTATGGGAACTCGAAAAACGGGGCCCTTGTGAGCTTTCCCGGATTCGAAAGCCAAGACCTCGGTGAAATGGACCCGGCCGCTCTCGAGGGAGGTCGGGTCTACCTTGACCGCGACCGTTCTCGTTTGGAAACTCATGTTCAGAACAGAAGGAATCTGAACCCACGGCGCGTCGCATGTCAATGCGAAGTTTTGGTCGTACGCTGGAATCGGGACTCACGGTCAGGCCATCGACGACGAAGGAACAACAATCGAATCACACCAACAAGAACATGCTCTATAATCGTCGATCGCTTCTCGGCGGATCTACCGAGCCGAGAGGTCCACGACAAGTCCCGGATTTAGAGTCACTCACAGGTCTTGCGCTCGGGCGCCACGTTTTTGTTGTCAACGAAGCTCGGGTTGACGTCGACTGGGATGACCGAGGGTTTGCTCGTCTCATGTGGTTCTCTCAGATATATGCCTCGCTTGGCTCCGTTGTTAACTTCGATCTCGAAACGCAACGGATTTTCCTTCTCGTTGGCATTCGTTTGCAGCCAATCCCATGCCTGCTCGACTTGAATCAGGCCTTGTCCGTTCGCGAACGTTTCATGCGTCGACATTTTCGCGGCGGTATTTTCCAAAGCACGCCGCACCATGTATGGCGAATACTTGATTGATTTCTGTTTCATGGCCGATAACAAGAGCGCAACGACTCCAGCGGCGTTCGGTGCAGCCATCGAAGTTCCATTCATCAGCTGACTGCCCTGCAGTGTGCATTGAGGCACCGATGTGATCGCAGCTCCAGGCGCACAGATGTTCGGACCGAGGCGACCGTCGATGCTATTGAACGATGGGGTTTATCATTGTCGATCGATAGACATGGTCATGTGAGGGGCCGATAAGTACTCCAAGCGTTCGCTTTCTAACCTCGGTCCTCTGGACGTCCAGTTGTATCCGATCGCGGGAATCTTCTCCCGCAGCGAGTACTCGGCCTCCATCATGGGTGGGGTCACCATGGCTCCAACTGCGAAGGAAGTCTGCGTCGGCGGAGTGCCGAATGTTGAGAGTGCGGGACCAGCATTACCGGCCGAGACCATCATGCAGACCCCTTTTTTGTTGATCATTTCCTCGAAGTAGTCCCAGATTCGTCTGCGAGATTGTTGGAGAAAGTTGGAACAAAAACTCAACCGGGTACACACCGAAAAAAAGACCGAGCCAATACCCTGGTCAACTCACCCTTTACACCATTTCGAGCTTTCACCGTAGCTCATGTTCACCACGTCAACGTTGAGCTTCATGACGGCCGCCATGGCGCGATACATCGATGTTCCACTTTCCATCGTTGACAGTCTCGCGTCGCCTAGCATTAGCGAGATGATCTGTGCGCCGGGTGCGATTCCGTTGCGCGCTGGATTGTCGGGGAAGTTGGCCGCAGCGATCGAAGCGACGTGAGTTCCATGAGAACCTGAGAGGTGGGATTCTCACTCAGTCGGATCCGGGTGGGATGGACGGTGAGCAGCATGAGCAAAGTCTGGGACGAGAGAGATTCAGTCGGTACTTACTGGCTATCCCAACGATTTCGAGGATGTCTCCATCGTCGTGAACATTGACAGCAAAGCTCATGTTATCTTCGGCGCTCAAGACGCAGCATTTGAGGGTTTCGGAATAAGGCCCGAGAATTTCGCATTCATTCAAATCCCCGCGAGACGTCGTGTCAACGACTGGAAATGAGACAATCTCTCTATTAGACCCGGAAGCTGTGGGAAGTTTCAGGAAATAGCTCGGCTAGGCTACATCTTCAGGAGGAGCGAACTTATACTCACTAATTTTCCACGAGGTTCCGTCATGAAACATGATACAGTCGAAGGCCGGTCCGAAATCGGCGAAATTCTTGTCCAATTTTGAAAGCACATCGACGCGGGCTTCTAGCTCTTCCTTCTGGACTTTCTCTTCTGCTTTCAACTCGCCTAGAGCAAACGGGACGTGAGATTCGCCCGCCTGGAGGGATTCGGCATGTATGGAATGAACTTGACACGCAGAGAGAGAAATTGAAGAACGTACCGGTGTGGGACGCCTCGAACCGCTGCAAGTTCTTCGAGGCTTCTGCTAGCGCGGGGTTCAGGAAGGCAGACCAGTGCTTCTCATGGTAATCTGCCTTCACTCGATCTCTGACGAAGGTCGCGTAGAGCTCATAAACTGCTTTCAGGCCAATTCTATATTTCCCTGCAGAGAATCGGAACCGTTTTTGATTGCAGACCGACCGACAGGGATTCGTTCCCAGCGTCGCCTATACAACATTTGATCTTCCGAACTCTCCTCAAGAGAACTCGTGGGTAGTTCTGGACTCGAAACCACGGATAAAGTGCTGCTCTTTGATACCTGCCATACGACAGGGATCCTGCGATATGACTCCAGAGCTCGACGCTCATATATGTCTCCGTTGCTGGTGCAACTGAGGAGTATCGTTTCCCGCAGGTATTATGATCCCGCTGACGCGGACTGACGACGGATTACCATGAGCTATTCATGCATACCTGACGGATTCCATCCTGTAGGGAGCTTCAGTGTACGGCCACTGAGTCCGGTGACAACACCATTTTCGGCGACCACTTCGGTCCTCATATCTACATCTCCGGCGCCTGAGAGATCGAACATCTGAATGACTTTGGGCTTATTCTCCGTCGTCACCTACGGGATGGAGAAACGGCATTTTCAGCAAAAGGCATGATCGAGAGAATCAGTCCGGTAAGATCCGTTTCATCTGTCTCGACATAGAACGAGGGGGCTGAGAGACCGGCGAAACGGGCTCGTCCGAGATGATCCATGGGAAACACCCTTTCGGAGGGAGGCAGGGATGACATCGGGAGTTATCTAGATACAGCAAGAGATTATTTCCACAGCTCGTAGAGATCGTTCTCGACGATTCGATTCAGACGCTGTCAGGGATCTCTCGGGAGAGCCGGGACTCCGACAGAATTATTGAAAGGAATATCTTCAGGCTCACGCTACATACACGGCGATATAATCATCGATATCACCCCAGAATCTGTCACCGATCAAGTGCTTAGAAGATGCACTCGATCCAAGCCGGTAAACATGTACCACACCCGAAAATTCCCAGAGACCGATTCCTTCCCGTGAAGCACATGTACAACAAAGTCATTCTCCCACGATCCCAATAGTACCTGAAGTCCGGCAGCTCGAGGATCAACTCCACTGTCGAAAATGGCGATGACGACTCCTCGGCCGTCATAGCTCGGATTCTTCGTGAGGAATGAAGTGACACCGGTTTCTTGTTTTGGGATGAGGGCCGACTCAGGGAAGGCATCATCGGGACATGAATCCAGCTTCGTCATTCCTAGACGGGTTCGATTCGAGCGGTCTAGTTTTAGAGTTTGATCAGCAAAGCCAACTATACCACGAGATGATGCAGCAATGAATGGATGATCATTACCACAGGCCTCAGCAGACGACGATCGAGCCTCAGCTATTGTTGTCAAACGGAGTCGGCACCGCTGCTGATCTATTATCTGACTGCGGCTGAGTCGATAGAGAGCAGAGACTGGACTGGACTGTCGGAAGTGATGTATAGGAACTGACAGGAGGCTTTTCCTGATGTGTAGCACCCGATACATCGATTCAGCGAGCGCGATCTGGTCACCGACCGGGGCACCGAGTCGGGACAGGTCGGAAGAAGAACAAAGGGCTGTATGGGCCGCTCACAAGGGTCGCGCGTTCGATGGGACTGCGCGCAAGGATACGGTCGGGCTCTCTTCCCCCACAGTCCTCGAAGGACGCGGTGCACGATTCTCAGGCGCCTCGAGGAACTCTGGTGGGGTTTTCGAGCTATTCCATACAGATTCTTCGCGCGCGATCGAGCACATCCGCGGCGTGGAATCTACATAATAGACCATCAGCTGAAGGACTCTAAGCTCCTCTGTGGATGGAAGAATTCCCCTATGGCGATTTCGGGGGCGATCGGAATCAACAACCAGATGACACACTGGACCCTCGACGGGCGGCTGAGCACAATGATGTCCTTGATCTTTGCTGAAGGTTCGAGCGCGATCGAGCCAATTCCCGGAATCGATCTCCTGCCTCTGTTGATTAGTTTGGATCACAGTTGGATCTCACCGGATCACACCCTTACGTATCCCATCTGACAACATTTGGTTCTCATCACTCATCAGATGACGCCCGCATCTCATCGGATCACGCTCTGATTCAAGGGCGATCCGATGAGACCCACATGTGTTCCGATGACATATTATGAGGTCAGAGTGACTCAATGGAGGCAAGAAATCGTTTTCTTCCACGCCACCTTACGCATACGTACGAGGGTGAAAAAGCCTCACAGGCCTTCGAGCCGAATTCCACGTCTCTTCGATGTGTTTCTGCCACCGAACGTCTTCACTCGAGCTGCGAAGAAGGAAGATGGCAAGCAAGCCAGCCAGCCAGAATTGCGTGCTCGGGCTCCTCGTTGATAATCACATCAGGCCGGCAGAATTCTAGAGACTCTCATGGGAACCCCGAAACTTCGCTTTACTCCTGGCTCGTTCAGTCAAACTCTAATCGGTCTGACAGAGCTCAACCGCAGTGTGTAGATGTGTTTGTGAGTCCAGATGATGTTCTCGCTATCGACTCGGGTAAACACTCAAAGCTATTCGAGATGGAGACCGGTTCCGATTAAAGAGCGATTATGATGGGGAGCATGCTTCACAAGCGGGATAATGACCTCCCGGAAGATCAATTTTTTGCACGAGAACTATCTAATAACTACACATGCTGCCGGTCTCACGAGGCGTCATATCGGCCCGAAGAGGATCAGTGAGTCCCTAGCGATGATACCCATCACGGAAATTCCGAACCCGAGCTCTAACGACTTAACCCCCCCCTCCCTGAAACCACATGTTTCCCCTGGAGAGCGATGCGTTCATCCAAGGAGGGCAGACCGAAGTCAATCTCTGGCTCTCGCGCTCTAAATTTCCGTGAGTGGCTCAAGCCGATTGAGTAGTTCCGATGATAGCGCCCAAGTTCTCTTTTTGTCTAAGTCAGACGGCCCTGGAGCTCCGATTGATTGCATCGAGCTGGGAGGATATATTTTGTGAAAAAGAGAAACGGCTCAGTGACTGGATCGAGTGACAGCGCCCTCAAGCCCCCGAACTGGATACCCATCGAGGAATCACCCGATCTCCGTAAATCGTTGGTTCCCACCACGTTCACCACCATGTATGGGAATGCGAACGCTATAGTGGCGACAGTTTTCTGTCTTATCATCTGTGAATATTCAGCTGACTCAGATGTCGCGGCCAGCGAGGTTCGCGCGCTTAGGTGCGCGGTCGCCAATTCCACGGTTTCCGATGATCTGAAAAACGTCGAAGAATGCAGTAGCGGCGATACCAACTCCGATATATCTCCACATTGCTACGTAGTCTTCCGGAATAACTCTCAGACCGATACGTTGGAGGTGACTTTCCGCGGGTGTTGGACTAACGACGCTCCGGATTGCATCGGGCACGCTCGACTCAGCGAGGAGAAAGCCGCCTGTCAAGCTCGTTCGATGGGTAATAGTTTCTTCCTGTTCTGCTGCTGCATCGGAGACATGTGCAACCGGGATTTCGAGCCTCTTCCGCCAATACCAGACACACCCCTCAATGCTTCTTTGAACGCCGGGAGAGCTCCCGACAACGGTGCATATACCTATTCCAAAACCCTGATCTATGTCCTGGCACCAACCATCGGCCTCGTGGCGATCGTGTTGCTGTCCTTTCTGGGACAGCTCAATCGTCGCAAGTGTCTCCTCGCTCGACAAACGGTCGGCTCAGCAGAGAGAAGCTTCCCGTGCCCCGTCGGAACACCGATGCTCCCCCTCGAGAATGTGACGCTCATCGAGCAGGCCGCACAGGGGAGCTCCGGAACCGTCTGGAGGGGCCAGTACAACAACTCGCCCGTGGCAGTGAAAATTTCCCCCGCAGGCGAGCGTCAAAGTTGGCTGAATGAAGAGAAAATTTATCGTTCGAATCATATGCAGCACGCAAATATACTACGATTCGTCGGAGTCGGACAGCAGCTCGACAGCCAAACTAACCTCATGGAGTACTGGCTCCTGACGAGTTGGCATGATATGGGTAGTCTCTACGATTATCTCCGTTTCAACACGGTCACCTGTTCTCAGATCCTCCAACTCTCCGACTCGATCGCTAAAGGGGTGATGCATTTACACACGGACGTGGTCGCGGGAAAATACGACGACTACAAACCGGCCATGGCTCACAGAGACCTAAAGTCCAGGAACATCATTATGAAAAATGATCGGACAGCGTGCATCGCAGACTTCGGCCTGGCTATCGTGTTCGAGCCCGGAGCCCAGGTAGGCAACACCCACTGCCAGGTAGGGACGCGTCGCTACATGTCACCGGAAGTATTGGAAGGCGCCATTTCGTTCGATCGTGAAGCTTTCCAGAGGATCGACATGTACGCTGTCGCCCTCATCCTCTGGGAGATTCTGTCCAGGAACAGAGACTGTGACCCGTGCCCAACATATAGGCTTCCATTCGAAGAAATCGTCGGTCTGCACCCCTCGATGGGAGACATGCAGGAGGTCGTAGTCAACCAGAAGCAGAGGCCCTTCATTAAAGACACGTGGCGAGGAGAGAAAAGTCTGTCAGTATTTATAACCACTCTGGAAGAGTGCTGGGATTCCGATGCCGACGCCCGGCTGAGTGCGAGTACGATGCACGAGAGATTGCAATCGCTCATCTCTCAGCAAGCCGCAGGGGTTATCCCGAGAGATGAACATGAAATGACTGACGAGAAGGGACAATAGGTTCCTTCCGATTCCCAACATTTTTTCCGTCAACAATGAGGAGCGTAGTTTCTGTGTTCACGATCATGGTTACGAGATAAGTTATCGTCGTCTTTATATAGAGCCTTGTACATATATGTAAGCTTTATGAGCGAATGTCATCCTGCTATTGTGAAATTCTCTTCGGGGATGAAGTCCTTTGTTGCTGTGGATCAGCTTTAAGCGTCAATCGGAGCGACTCTGCACCCGCCTCAAACCATACACAATCTATGTATACAAACGTTGAGCTAGTCGCCAAAGTGTATTCTATAACTGAGCTGCATTCTGGAAATACTTTATATCTACCCCATTCCGTGCCGCTAGCCGGGAATCGACGTGTGACAAAAACATCTGGAGTTTGGGTGCGCGATGAGCATTGAGTGTAGCCGCGTGCAAGCCTCGGAGACATCGGTCGTGATTCCATGTCGTTCGAGATATTTGTCTGGGGAGTTCGAAGAAGCTGACCGGATTAATCTCACGCCTTGGATGGATTTTCATCTGATCGGAATTTGCAACCGTAGGGGTCGTCGATCCTCAACGAGCTCCAATACGAACCCCTGCGGAAGACATCCGAAATTGAAGCGAGCCCCTGTAATTTAAAAAGTCCCGAATCTCCGACCTCAACGCACAAGTAGGCAACAACGACACTAAAGCGGGCGCGGATGCTGCCATCTTGGTCGCTCAAGAGCTCCGTGGAATTTTCGAAAAACTTCGGAAACGATTCTCGTATGCCTTGTGTGACCGATTCGATGACCTGATGCTCTGAGTTCACCGTGAGACTCGTCAATGATGGGATCAACTTCCGTTCCTGATGCCGAAATTTCCGGACGGAGCTCTAGGCGCCCTTACCAGCGGACAAATTTGTACAATGGTTCCATGTGATAAGTGCAATTCGAGAGTCGCCGGATGAGCTTTAAGGTGATCTTGCGAAGTTTTTTCGCCCATAATGACCGTCGGACCCTAAACCATTTCGCCCGGTGACCTGTCTGTAGAGACCACCATGGATATACTGCGAGGATCTCGAGAAGCATTCCCGGAAAGCATTGGTTTAGTGTGTATTTACAGCCATGACTTAAATCACTTGACCATCGAACTGATGAGGCAATTATTTTGTGGAATGAATAAATTTTGTTTTGAATCAATTTGACAGAAATTCAGACTAAGACGAGGTCAGTGTCTTCACTCTTGGGTTTGGGAGAATCTCCGGAGAAGTATGCCGATCTTCTGTCTCCTCCTCTGCATCGCTTCCTCCCGGGCCGCTACACGGACGAGCCCCTCAAGCAGATCAAATTGTTCGTTACCGATGCCTTGAGCTCCTCTGTATTCGCGTCTGCTGCTTCCGTCGATCCATGAAAGGCTTCGACTTCCTTGACGACTCGCAGCGTAGAGGAATCCTTGCTGCTCTCGGGGTGAGGATATATTCTAGGGATTGGTTTGCCTCGTAACTTGGAGAGGAATCAATGAGAGTATTGGCTTTCAGCTAGGAGCTGGATCCCATTTTTCCCCTGGTCCCGCACTATTGCTGCGACAGACCTTCCAAGTAAAATAATCAATGACCGTCTGTCCCAAAAAAAGGAGACATCTAATCATGGAATTTGAAAGTTCCTCGGACCAGAGACTTCTCGAAGGCGGCGACAGTCCATTTCCATCCGAACGCCAAGCAGGGATTCTCATTTCCAGCGGTCGCGGTCAAGAAATACGTGTGGGGAGCTTGGTGCGCTTAGCACAATCTGGATCCGCTGGGTTTTATCGCGCCCAAGCGAAATGTTGATGTGTACACGAAAACCAATAAGATCCAACCCCACCTCTCCACCCCTCACCATACGTCCAGATAATAGAAAACGCCCGCAAGATGTGTAGCTCCCAGAACGCTTCGGGAGTACGAGCTGGAAAGAGAAGAATCGGAACGGCCACGATCCTGGAGCTGAAAATTCCGGGGTGACACGATAATCCCCCGATCGTATCGACTGATGAGAAAATTGAACGACCGATACAATTCCGAAAAATTTCAGAAGAAGCTCTCCGAAATCCGAGATCGACGCGGACCTGAAGAAGCTGGTCTCGAAAGTGGAGAGTGGGTGAGCCGGGTGAAGAGTGAAGAAGAGTTGTACTCTGTCTTGTTTTGATTCGTAAACAAAGCGCAGACACCGCAGCCGCCTGGTTGGAGCCAATTCAATTTTGAGTGATCGTGTCTGTTGGGTGAATAGGATCTGGCGGCCGTGCTTCCTGGGAGCCAAGGGAGCGGATCTTTGTCTGAAGAATTCACTTGGTCTCCGTGCATTCTGTCAGACTTTTGGTCGGGCGGTCCAAGACGAGATTCTCCGGAGTCTCACGAAGGGATGTGAGTTCCTCATGGATCCTCTGAAGCAGACACACTTAGCGACTCTAAACTACACGGGTTGTATCGCAAGGCTGAATATAGATTCGTGGGATGCCGCGATCGGTGGAATGAGTGAGCTCATCAAAGCTTGGTCTTTCCGAGACTCCACTCCGAGGGAGCACGCCTCCGAGATCTCATCTAATTGCAGCGGAATCTTCAACTTCAACACGGAAGAATTTCCGCCGTACAAATACTCCTGCTCGGAATACGCTCCTGCAATACTCATCGCCATCCTCGTCTGGGCTGCAGCGACTGCCTTGTTAAGGAGGAAACACCGTAGTCGTCCAGAGCAAAGTGAGAGTAATCCTGATTCCTCCTCCGACGACATTCTCTTTTCCGAATGGACAATCCCCGGAGGAAAACTCGACATCGACGCAAGCGCGGGTTTCTTCGGAATACATCGCCGGGTCTTCAGAGGGACGTATAAGGAGACCCCCACGGTCCACAAACAAGTGGCAGTCAAGATTCTCCGAGCTCAACATCTGGCTCTCAATGCAGCGCGCGTACATAGCTTGTGCCAGATGCAGCATCCTAATATTTTGGAAATTTTCGGAATCGGCCGAGAAGCCGGGAGTCGCTCGCTGTTATCAGTCGTGAGTCCCTGGCAGGTCAGGGGGAGCCTCTATGATCATCTCAAAATCAACACATTATCGTATTGCCAGCTGCTCCATTTGTCTTGTTCAATAGCGGACGGCTTGGCATATCTACACGCTGCGAAAACGCCTTCGGAAGGCGGCTACTCGAAGCCAGCTATGGCTCACAGGAACATCAAGTCAAAGAACATCATACTGAGAGATGACCGTACGGCGTGCATCGCTGACTTCGACTCGACAATCGTGTACGATTCCGGGACGACTGCCGAGGAAATGGTCATCGGATCGTTCCTTTACTGGTCGCCGGAGTTGCTGGAAGGCGGAGCGACGACGGCATTGCCCACACGAGAAACTTCACAAGCAGCTGATATCTACGCGGTGACCCTCGTTCTCTGGGAAGCTCTGTCCAGGACAGCTGTTTCGTCCGAATCTTCGGAATATGTCATGCCGTTTGAGGACACCGTCGGACCAAACCCTTCGTTGCTGCAGATGCGGGAAATCGTCGTGTCTCGAAGGAAGAGACCGATTATTGAGAGAGCATGGCGAGAAGACGATCGGTTCTCTCCTTACATCTCGCTCCTTGAACTTTGTTGGGATCAAGATCCTCGCATCCGCTACAGTGCCGGCAAGCTCCACAGAAGCTTAAGACTTTTCGAGTCTGCCATGGTGAGCCCGACGAAAGACAAATTTGTCCCGTGGCCGGCTTAAGAAGGGAATCGCCACGAGAAGTCTTTCATTACCGATTCTCAAATCAGAACGCTGATCCGGATCCGCAAGCATCGAGGCTCTGCAGTGTCCGGCTAACCCTCGGCTCCCCGTCTCATCCTGCCGTGAATTGAATTTCACATACATACATCCATCGCCCGTGCTTCCGCCACATTTCCCGTTCGATCGACTAGGTAATTATTGTACCTTATTATGACTTAAGTAGAGGCGCCGAGTGCCCTCGATTGCGCGATGTGTTGCAGTGGGAATCGTCTCGGGGAGGGCCTCTCGAGTCGCTAACCTACGTGTTAGCGGGAAATGGAAGACTATATCAATTGTGGTTGTGAATGTCGTCCAAACATCAGATATACCTCGGATCCGTAGAGATCAAAAGGAAGCGTACGGGGACCTGGCAAAGACGGTGTGTGAGAGAATGGCCCTAATAAAGACCATTTTACGAGATCTCTTGCCCGTTGTTCATTGATTATGGATGTTCAATCTGTGGACTCCACGGGTTAGATTCTGCTCGCGAGCTCGCGGGTGTTGGCCGCGTTGGGGGACGATCATGAATTTCCCCTCGAGTTTCAGGGAGTCCTTGTGGGTTGCAGAACTGTTGGGATCTGGGCATTCTCCGTCGGGCAAGGAGCAAATTGGGCCACCGAGAACATTCGGAACGAGAGATACGGCGATGACTGCAAGATCAGCACAGAGCGCCCCGCTCAGGTAACGAGCCGCTTCTGTTATAGGCACGAGGGAATAGCGAACCAGGACAGAGTCGGCATTCACCAGAAAGGGTCCCGAATAGATGTCCCGCGAAGCCTAGAAACCATCAACGGCCGCTCCGGTGGCCAGGTTCATTCTGCTGATGCTCGGACTGTATCGTTGGCTTTCTGAAGAGATCGCCTCCAATTACGGTCATCTCCATATACCTGATCAGATCAGTCATTGGATATCCGTTTAGTGTCGAGGTCGGTCGCCGCTCTCCGATTGGCCGATCTGAGCTACTCGCGTGGGTCGCGATGACATGGGAATCGTGATGGATTCGGAGATGAAATCGCCCCGATGACGAAGAGGATTCAAATCTCTCCGCGCAATGAAACTCGCTCTCCGTCTCTCATGTTTCCTTAGAGTCTCAACCCGACCGAGAAGACTCATTGTTAGCGGAACTGCAGACGGTGTCTGTGAGCGACCAGTCTGACAGTTCGAGCGGTGAGCAGGCTCAGACGCCGGGAGCGTTACTGGAGTCTCTATCCAGCAAAAATTCTACTTACTCATCCCCGAATTCAGATTAGAGATCGGTTCGAAGTTCAATGACGAGTACAGTCTAACGTCCAGGATACGACTCATTTCGAACATATCGAGTTATGAGATCAGCGTAGGCTCAAACTTCTCGAAGCTGGAAATACAGCTAGAGTCCGGGGACTCCGACCTGGGGCTCGATCGCGCTGTATCCACACAGCAGCCGGTCAGTCTCCGCGAGGAACTGGTAGAATAACTGTGTCTTTGGACGGAGACGGGCGTCGTCAATTCACACAATCGATTGCGAGACACAATCGATACATGGGAATGTTCGCTCCGGCGGAATAGGATTCGGGATCAGCGCATCTCTAGTTTTGTGTATGTCGAACGACGCCAGAGCTCCGGGACCTTTGCTAAGCATTTATCAGATTTTCGTAGCTCCATTTCCTGCCAGGTCTTCAAGCCGATTCCTTGAAATGAAATGGATATTTCTCGGACCTGATCACCGCGGTACGCTCGCTCATCGATATAGACGGGGTGTTCGAAGTCCGGCGTTTCTCTCAGAGCTCGAAACAGTCTCAGGGCCGCCCGGATGGCGCCAGATCTTCGCAGGGCATGAGCTTTCGGATGCTAATTGGTTTACGCGCTTCCTCCGACGGCTTATCGAGGAATTCACACCTCACTGAAATGCACATCGGCTCCGGGGCTCGTCGAAACTGTGCCAGCTCAGGAATGATAGCGACACGCGCCTCCGTCGACTCGATGAAATGAAATGACTCGTTGTAGTTTTTCTATGCTCGATTCATTTCCCTCGACAGAACTCTCCAGATAAGCAATAACAAAAATTTCCTCTCATAATTTCGCTGAATATTCAGTTCGATCCGAATACATGGATAACAGGAAAACTCCAAACTGAAGAATTATAACTTGAGGTCAACCAGAGTCCGGTGCCCATTTCCAGGTGGGTTCGATGGATCCTTAGGTCGATGCCTATTCTTCCTCCTCCTCCTCTTCTTCCTCTTCCTCCTCCTTTTCATCCTGAAATCAATGTCTTTAATGAATGAAACGGAGGTATGGGTATTTTCATGAGCGAAGGTGAGTTCCTAGCCCCCGTCTGAGGAGCAGCACAGAGGAGACTCGTTCCCACCACTCGCGGTTGGAACGAATTCCCGAAAACGACGATTTCCCCCCCCTCCTCTTCTCCTACGGCTCGGTCACATAAGAGATAGCTTTCAGGGAATATTCCTAACGGCGATCCCGAGTCGTAGCATAGGAGCTCGATCGATCTCGTAGGGAAAAGCAGTAGGTATTTCGGATCTCCGGCGTCGTGCCGCTTGAAGGCTGCGCGCACGTCGCAAAACGTCGGGCGCACATAGAATTAGGTAGACCAACATGGGAGCCAGTGTGTAGAAGAGACGCCGCGCACGAGGCGGGCGCTCTCCGTGAGTAAGATAACGAATAAATTGTGGCATTGTAAAATCGAACTCGAATTCTTCCCCAAGCTCAGGGGGTCTATAACAGCACAGGAGGAGGTCCGTAACACTCAGAAGTCTCATTCGAGGTGCTACAGCTGGGTTTCTCCCCCGGCTGACCACTCTAGATTACCTCTTCCTCTTCCTCCTCCTCCTCTTCTTCTTCCTGCTGCGGCAGAGGTGCTCGGCGAATCTTCAAGAGAGAGCGCTCTATGAATTCTTGTGGCCCTTATAATTGGCCCTAATTATTCCGTCCAAGATGCATTGCACTGATATCGGAATTTCCATGGGGGCGAATCACATCAACTCACAGGCTCTGGGTCCGGCTGCCTTGTCGGAGGCGGTTGATAAACGGGTTCATCATCATCCTCATCATCATCGTCGAGCCCGCGACGTCGGAGAACTTCCTTGTTTTTCGGGTTTTCAGGATCCCAAGAAGGTAGTTTGCCGCTCGAAGACTCCTGAGTGTTAATATTTTTAGAACAATGGACTCCTGGGGATAATCAAGGACGGGAAATAAACGGAGGCAAGATCGAGATACCTTGAAAGTCATCAGCTTGTTTTCCCATTGTTTCTCGAGATCCGCGTCTTGTTGAGCTTCGATACCACCAGAGAAGAGTTCTTTCTTGTCAACGAAAGAACGCCGATCCGTCCTCCTTTCGTACTTGCTAGCTACTTGGATTTTCGGCTGGGTGGGTGGACGGTCTCAGTTAGTCTTCTCATCCGCTCAGACCAGCACATATAAGATAAATTGCAGTAAAGAAATAGGGGCAAGCCTACCGGATGAGGTCCCTGCAGAGCCTCGGGGTCGAGACCCTTCTTCAGAGCCTTGCTACGACTGATCTGACGCTGACGTTCAGCCAACTCTTTCAGCTGCATGGGAAGATTTCCTTTTAATGATACAGGAACAACGTGCGCTAGATCGATACGAAGAGTCAGAATCGTCACTTACATCGTATTCTTGAACCTTTCGGCGTTCTTCCAAATCGTACTTTTCGGCTTCGAGTGACTTCACACGCTCCCAGAGCTCGTTAGCTTTCTTCCTGAGATCTTCGACCGAGCAACCGTCGAAGTCCAGAGGCTTGACCCGCATGGCCATGATCGCCCTCTTGTCCTCCTCGAGCTGTTCCCGAGTTTTTCCCATTTCGCCGCGGGCCGCCATGACGTTCGCGAATTTCCCGAAAACACCTGGCATCGGGAAAAATCATCAGACTATTCGAGCACCGAATGACGCTGGCCTCATATTCCCTCACTAACGGGAACTCACCGCTCCCCCCGAGGGCGGCGAAGTTGCCAAGGTCTTCACGTTTCATGATGGTGAAGTTCGGTTTCACCGGTTCGTTATCCTTCTTCTCCTTGGCGGCTTGCATGGCCTAAAAAAAAGCATTGATAGTTTAACGACGCAGTGGCTCGATGAGCCCGAAAAGAAGCTGAATGGTCAACGCGAGAGGAATATCAAAAAAGCTTTTCCGAACCTGGCGCTTCCTCTCTGCTTCCTCCAATCTCTTGCGCTTGGCCTCGGCTTCCCGAGCTTTCTTCTCCTCGAGCTCTTTCTGACGTTTCTCGTCCTGGATTCGCTTCTGCTCGGACAGGGCCATTTCTTGTTGAGCTCGAGCCTCCCTGCGCTTAGCCTGGCGTTCCTAAGGGGACAGGATGCGATGATGAATAAAATTATTCGGCCTCGACAGACCTTCGTGTTACCCAGAGCGTTCCTAATGAGAAGGTAAACTAATTGCACATTTTCCGTGCTGGCTCAGTGTGACAAAGCCGCTGAAACAATGATTTATCTTCCAGGCGCTTCTTCTACGAGAGACATTAGCCTCGCGACGACCAACCCAGACGAGCGATGCGCTTCTCTCGCTGATGCGTCGTAATGGCCTTTGTCAAACGGCCAAATTGTACCAAGCTTTCTCGGCCCAACGTCTAGTCCTTATCGCGTAAGCGCTCGCTGACACGTTGATTGAAGGCTCATAGTGTCGAGAGAGATTGAGCACCAGATTGTTCACGACGACAGCTCTGAAATCAGCTTCCAGGGAGAACCGCCGGGGGACGATTTTTCTTTGCCTCGCGAATTTTACAAGTTTTTCTATAAAGAAGGTCCGCGCGGAGCCGAGCCATTTTCCGAATCGCCTCGGTGATGCTCTCACTCTCGGACCATTGTTTCGGTGGGGGTGCAGGGTGCGAGCATATCGACGTCGCAGAGTTTCATATCTCGTCTCAGAGATGCAGATCCGACCGCTCCAGGATCACGGATGGCGTAGACATCTAGCAGACGAGTTTATGAATCCTGATCGGTGGACCTCCTCACCCGAAACCCCACCTCAGGGAGTTCTTCCCTCGCTCATTATTGAAGTGGGGGGCGTCAAGCATCTGGTTGTTTGCATCGTTTTCAGACTGAGGCTCCGACACTGGTGACCTGGCGGTATAGCCCTCCCAGAACGTCGCACCAAAGTCTCGGAATGACGTCTTGCTATCGGTCGAGGGTAGCAGTTGTGACAATCATCTTTCTCATCATCACGGAAATCCACGCAAGTGTGGCTGGCGCCGGTAGGAATGTGTGCGCGTTCAGTGATAATGAGGTGCCTGACGAGATCGGAGCTGTAGAAGATTGTGGAACGGGACGTCTGATTCCGCCCCACCGAGGACCGCTCTGCTATGTTCTCTTCAGAAACTTCACAGCCGGAGGTTACGCCGAAGTGGTGATGCGTGGCTGTTGGCCGAAAATTGAGTCCGAGTGCTCGAAAACGACAAACGAGGGCGATATCAGAGAATCTTGCTCGATGCGAACCAGCGGAAACGATTCCCTACTCCTCTGCTGCTGCATCGGATCGCTCTGTAACAGAGACCTCCGAGCTAATCCCCCAGGCCAAGAAGAAGCACCGAGAAGGTACTTCGTCGTCCCTTTCATTGATGAATCGGATCGCGCACCGAATGTCACACGGCTATTCTTCTTCTTCTTCTTGTGCATCCCGGTGCTAGCAGTTGTGGGGTTCGCTCTGGTTTATTGGCGATCCGCGAGAATGAAGCACCTCCTCCAAGGGCTCTTCCACGATGATGCCACTAAGAGTCAATCAGATCACATTGAAGTCCAATCCAGGACAGGGGAATTGACCTCGAAATGTGTGACGCGCCTGACGGAAATCGACCAAGGCAGTTTTGGAACCGTGTGGAAAGGCCTTTGTAACGGCAGGTCGGTTGCGGTGAAAGTCTATTCGGAATGTAATCAGGACACCTGCTTCAATGAGATCGGAGTCTTCAGTCTGCCTGGAATGAAACACGCGAATATCCTGGAGTTCCTCGGAATGATACGACGGATGAGGAGTCCTATGGAGTACTGGCTCTTGACGAAATTTCACGAGATGGGCGACCTCGAAAATTATCTCCGTCTGCACACGGTGTCGTGCGGTCAGCTGCTATATCTTGTCGAATCAATCGCGAAGGGCTTGATGCACTTACACAATCACACTGTTTTCGTCGATGGGAAGTTCAAACCCGCTCTAGCTCACAGAGATATCAAATCGAGGAACATCCTTCTAAAAAATGCGCACACCGCCTGCATTGCGGACTTCGGCCTGGCCGTCATCTTCGAGCCGGGCGATTGGGCCAAGCGAGCGCGTCTTCCGAGCGGAACACCGCGCTACATGCCGCCCGAAGTCCTGGAAGGTGCATCGTCCTTCGACCCTCGGACTATCCAAATGACGGACATCTACGCGGCAGCTCTGGTGTTCTGGGAGATCCTTTCGAGGGTTGGGTTCTCGTCACCAGTCGCGGATTTCAGACTACCGTACGAGGAATTCCTGAACTCTGAACAGGCAACGTTTGAAAGAATGATGGATATCGTAGTGTGGCGGAAACTCAGGCCCTCGATAAGAGAGGATTGGAGGCGCGATAAGAGATTAGCCGTCATCGTCACAACTTTGGAAGAGTGCTGGGATACCGACGCCGACGCTCGACTGGATGCGAGCCGTGTATGCGAGAGGTTGCAATCTCTGATCTCCGCCCAGCAGTCAATCGAAGTAGGCTTCTATTAGCGACCGGATCCTGGATTGACGGATGTCGTCATGAATCATGAAGCACAGAGGTACATCGAACCTACCTATGCACATATAAATGTGTAGATTCTGGTCGGCGGCTTACTTGATTTGCTAACTATCTGTGATACTTGCCGAATGTTACTCGAGACTCATTGAATAAATGAAAGTTTCCCGCTTGACGTACTTCCGTCTCGATAGTGAGAAATATATGGCTCATCCCTTGGATGTGCAGGACTTTTTCTCGATTACAGTTTGGCTCTGTCTTCTAATGCTGCTCCCAAGTTATTGCTTGATAGATTCCAATTTTCATTTTTCTGTATGTATACAATCTTTCGAAGGACTGGATGCAGACAGCATCGATGAGTGTCCTCTTGGGGGTTGAGTTCCTAAGCCAGGCATGCTTGAGCCACTAACCTTCAATTTACGGAGTTCCTCTTCCTCTTTCAATCGCTGAAGTCGACGCTGCTCCGCGTATTCCCTCCACATCTCCTCCTCTTCCTCCTTCTTGCGACGCAGCTTCTCCTCAACTTCAACTTGGGCGTCCGTCATCTGAATACAGAAACAATTCTGATTCAGAGAACAACGTCAAACGGAAAACCAGAGTCCGTGAGCCAATCGTAATCCAATGGCGAGCCGAAATCCCTGCCGTAGGGCAGAGAGAAGATCTCAGCTCGTGAGTCGAGCTGGGCGAGATGCCCTCGAAGGGACACGCCTCCTCCCACGCCTTTCCGTATAATGCAAGAGCCTGGCCTTTTAAGGGTTCCATACGGAAGCAGGCATAGGGTACAGTGATTCTGCTCTCTTGCATCCGAATTTCAGAGCTCGCCATCCTCGGGGAGCGAAATCCCTTTGAGGACTGACCTCCGGCATCTCTGAGACCGAACGTCCTTAGAGATTCCGACCCGCCAAACCCTGGAAACAAATCGATTTTCGATGGTTCCCTCTCCGATTCTCCTCATGAAATTTCTGGATTCAGAACTCGAGGAGACCGAGGGTAGTGGAGAGGATTCGTTGCCGCGGAAATCAAGACGAGTCGTACAGAGGCGTCAGGGCTCTCCTCTCGCCGTAAAAACCTCGGACGCAGATGGCCTCCGGCAGCAGATCCGAGCACGAGGAAACTTCCGTCGCGTTCGCGACAGCGGGATAACCTCGCCACGAGCTCCCCGATGATCCATAGTAACTTGTAACACATCGTATCGCGGTTTGTCCTTACCTTGGCTTCAGACAGTAGCTGCGGTGGCTCAGAAGCTGGAACCCTGCCGTCGACAGTGGTCGTTATAGGCTGGTCCTGGTTGAGCCTTTCCGGTGACCGGAGAGAAAGAGGCGAGGGTGGTTCTACTGGTGCTCGGTTCCGATCGCTTCTTCTTCCCAATAAAAATTTCCATCTATGCGCTGTTGCTGAACGGCGGTGGTGGAGGAGGAACGACGACGGCGACCAGCCTGCCCCGAGCTCTCTTTAAAGGAAGGAACTCAGTGAGCCGAGCCAGGAACTGACACCGTCTAGTTCACGGAGGCGTTTTTACACGACGAAACTGCCTGACTCGAACCAGGTTCCTGATCGGGATAGTTCCCAATTTCAAAGAATGAGATCGATGGCATTCCTTCATCTGATTCTAAATCGATTGCGGACCCCGGTCCTCAACGATCCCGCTCAGGAAAACTAATAAGTGATAACCCTTCAATCACGATCCGCTCGCGGAAAGTCATTAATTACAACCGCGGGACATCCTAGCGGGACCTTGATCTTCGCCAATAGTTAGTGGATACATTCTTGAATCTACTTGCGACCGACCGCGTGTGCTAATGAGTTTTCGCCGCAGATTAGAGGAAACAAGCCCGCGATTGTAGCGAAACCTCTATAGTTCACCCAGTCCTCCAGACTCGAATCGTCTGTCATACGCTCGTTAACAACGAGGAGGGACGGGGTCGAATCGAACAAGTGTCTCTGTTCCCTTCTAAGTCGTCGGCGTCTTCCGGCTCTGAGCTGATAGACATCAGCTCGAAGCTCTCGCGACACGTGTCACCGCGTTCAGGTTGGATGACAGCGAGACGTCGATGCATCTAACGATTCATTATCGGCCTCGTGAGTAGGACTATGAAAGACCACTACAAACGCATCCCGGATCGGGGCGAGACTGGTTGTTGCCTGTCGATCCATACTGCGAACAACGAATATAGAACTCCATTCCTTTCCGAGAATTATCCGCTCAGGCTCCACGGATTCCCGGACCATTGTCTCGATGTACACAGAGATATTAATCACATTTAGCATCTTCAAGCCGACCATCCATGGATGAGCTTCGCTCCGAGGGATTTCTGCCGTTCCATTCAGTCATAATCAGACTGCAACGAGTCCGACTGGCGATCATTGAAATACATGGAATGATTAGATCATTATGGTCCACAAGCATCATCCGATCCCTCATGAATAAGTGAAGGAAGGTCCCCGGGGTATCGAAGCAGGCTCGTTGAGCGAACGGAAGCAAGTTCGATCTCCAGTTGGAAAGCAAGACTCGTATCGCATCGGTAGCAGATCTCGAGAGACTGAGAACGGTTGCCAAGCCGCTCGCCAGCCACTCCGATGGAACTACGCGAGCGTTGGTCTATGCTTCATAGGTAGCTTTGCTGTAGCTTGTTCTTCCCGGTTGGCGTCTGGGTTGGTTGGTCGGTCCGATCAACTGAATGTGAGACCGGCTCTCCAAGTTTGCCAAGGCCGCATTGCGGAGGAGGAAGACGACGACCCATCGTTTCAAACAAGCTGACTCACTATCACTCCAAACAAGCTCTGCGAGGGAAAAGCGAGAGGCTGCTCATGGCTTCTCAATACGCGTTTGCAGTGTGAGACGGTATTCAGCGAGCTGATACTTGATTCTTCTAATTCTGCACCCTCAGCCTCCGTGGTCTGGTTCTGAATTGGTCGATTCTTATTCGAAACACTCATTCCACATTTCATCTTGTCCCGAAAACAGAGACGGAGACCGAGAGGGACTTCAATGGAATTTGATTTCTCTCATATAATTCTATGTATAAGAACCTCGAACTTTCTGACATCCTCTCATATATTTGTCTGTTTGTCTGTTTGTCGTTTCCCCGCTTTCCCGTTCCCCGCTTTCCCGTTCCCCCGCTTTCCCGTTCCCCCGCTTTCCCGTCCGCTCATCCGACAACCTTCCTGCATAGTCTTCCTTGTGCAGCTCCGCCAACGCTGTTCTTGCGATCCCGGTCAATAAGGTGCGGGGGAGAACATTATCTTCTCTCATCCGCAGTAATCTCAATTGATTCCGTTGCAAAAGAATTCTCCCTGTGTGTCCGTCCCATCCCGTTCCGCCAAGATCTTCAGCAGCCTATCAAGGCTCAACATCGCGCCTAGTTCAACACAAGCTTGCTCAAGGCGACGTTTCTGCAGCCGCTCGTACCTTGCTTTCCACCGACGTGACGGCACCACCCGATCTCGAAGCCCAGCGTACACTCGAAGTCAAGCATCCCGAGTCAGACATCCGAACAGCCATCAATAGTCTCCCAGCCCGCTCAAGTGGAGGTCTAGACGGACTTCGCCCTCGCCACCTGAGGGATCTGATCAAGAAAGACAGTAGCTCTTGTTCTCTCGTTGAGGCGCTGGCTAAGTTCTGCACAATGGTGATCAATGACAGGCTGCCTGATCTCGTCCTGGACACCTTCTACGGAGCAAACCTCTTGGCGCTGCGTGAAAGAGACTGGGGCATAAGACCAATTATTGCTGTCGGCAACGTTTCGAGGCGTTCGGCAGGCACGATCGCCATCCATAAGAACAGAGACCCCATTCGAGATCTTGTCACACCTGTACAGCTTGGATTTTGCGTAGAGGGAGCTTGCGAGGCCGCCGTTCATGAACGGCGGCCTCAAGCTTCATTGAGGTTAAGAGAGATTCCGGCGAGATTCTAGTCAAGCTCAACTTCGCCAATGCCTTCAACTCTCTTCACAGAGATTTAATTCTCAATGCAGTTCAGGCCAACTTTCCTGCTCTATACCCCATATGATCCATCAGGCGTACAGGTCTCTCTCGAAGCTTCTCTGGGAACACAAGGTTCTGCTTTCGAGATGTGGAGTCCAGCTGGGTGACCCATACGGCCCGGCCATCTTTTGCATTGCTCTTCATCAGCTCTCGTCGTCGCTCTAATCGGAGTTTAGGCCTTGGTTCCTGGATGACGATACAGTCGGCAATCGGAGCCGAATTAGTTCCAGACGGAGTCATTTTCGAATCAGAAATCCAGAATTTAAATCTCAATCCCGGTCGACAACGGGCCGGAGGGGACACCTGAGCGATTGCGAGAGCGATCCGGAACGGAGATTTCGGTCGAGACCTAGTCCTCGATCTCGACTTCGATCTCGATCCGGATCCCGAATGGTGAACTTCGTCCTCGGAGGCAGACATGATCTTCTTACGCTTGTTCTTGTCCCCTCGAAATCGGAGCCGGATTACTTCCAGCCGGAGTCATTTCCGAATCAGGAACCCAGAATTTATATCTCAATCCCGGTCGACAACGGGCCGGAGGGGACACCCGAGCGATTGCGAGAGCGATCCGGAACGGAGATCGGGAGCTCTGCCTGGATCATTCGGTTAGTCCGAGAAGAACGTCTATAATTATTAATCTGATGGAAGATTTTCGAACATGTCGAATCGATTTCATATTTTGGCGACAGATCCAATAGCTCCCGAATAAAGTTTGCAGCCTCGTTTCAGATTGTCTGTTCTTGCGACCCCGGTCAATAAGGTGCGGGGAAGAACATTATCTTCTCTCATCCGCAGTAATCTCAATTGATTCCGTTGCAAAAGAATTCTCCCTGTGTATCCGTCCCATCCCGTCCCGCCAAGATCATCAGCAGCCTGTCAAGGCTCAATATCGCGTCCAGTTCAATACAAGCTTGCTCAAGGCGACGTCCCGAAAGGTCCACGGCGCACAGCTCTGGAGAGAGAAATAAACATTCATCCGTCAATGTTTACATCAATGTGCAGAAGTACCCATGGCGGCCGCCATCTTCTCGACAAAGATGGCGGCGTAGCAGACGAAACCGTTGTTTAGCTATAAACCCGACCCGGACTAGAACGATCCGAGACATGGGTTGGGCCGCTTAACGCGGTCTTGAAGAGTTCTAGTCCGGGTTAAGGGTTCAATCACCTCACAGTGACACAATTTACTGATTTTTCACCTAACCTTCCTCCTCTCCCTCGGCGGCGGCCAACTTAGTCGACGAGATGGCCAGATATTCTATTTTTCTCGGAAGGATCCGGAGCGAGGCGTGCTCTCTCCCATCAAAACAAAAATACACGAAACGACAGACGACAGCCTTCGTTACTCAAACACCGTAACCGGTTGCCGTGCGTGTGCATATTTGAAGCAGTTTGATCCAAGCCTGTGAACGCATCCGAAAATTCTCCGAGACGGCAACATTATCCTGCGACGAGAAGCCGTGCTTACTTGTCGCCGCACGCGCGCCCTTGGCGGCGATCGTGACTGTTGTGTTCGAAGTTCTCTGATATTCGGTGAACAACAGGAATCAGCATGAGTATGGAATCGGGTTCGATAGAGATCCCGCTCAGGGATACAGATGAGGTCATCGAGCTCGACTTGAACCAGCTACCCGACGGCCAAGAAACGCTGACGATCTTGAAACAGGAGAAAGCACAGCTGCACATCTGGGTGAACTTGGCCTTAGCTTACTACAGGTATGCAGGCGCTATCAGAGCGAAGTTTTCTGTGATTTATTTGAGCCTCATTGGAAACTTCGGACCGCGCCAGATATGTCACAGAGATCCGAGAGATATTCATAGTCTGTCTCGTCGTTCTCCCAGGAAAGGAAAAGAAGCTGACATGGTGGCCTTGCTGGATTGCGCCCGGCAAGGTTTCAATACTTGGGCATCTTTGGACTATCCCGAGCACGAACAAGACCAGATGAGGTGTTTGGATACTCTCGCCGCCTGGTACGTGCGGAAGGCGAACCTGGAGAAGAACAAGGACCTCAAAACCGAAATGTTCACCAAGGTAGGTCGTTGGAAATACATTGGTAGGAACCCCGTGACTGCAGACGTAGTTTTTCACGCTCGCAGACGTATCAGAATTCAACTCAGCGATCCGATTCCCCTCAGGCCACTCTCTTGTATACCGCTGCGGACAGGATCATCATGTACACCCAAAACCATCTGCTCGGTAGAGCGTACTTCTGTCTGCTCGAAGGCGACAAAATGGATCAAGCCGATGCGCAGTTCAACTTCGTGCTCAATCAGAGTAATAACAACATTCCATCGCTGCTTGGGAAAGCCTGCATCGCCTATAACAAGAAAGACTATCGAGGCTCGCTGGCATTCTACAAGAAAGCTCTCCGCACGAATCCAAATTGTCCGGCGGACGTCCGCCTGGGTATGGGATTGTGCTTCTTCAAACTTGGGAAACTCGAGAAGGCTCGTCTGGCTTTTGGGCGGGCGATAGAGTTGAATCCTAAATGCATCGGCGCGCTGGTTGGTTTGGCTATCCTGGAGTTGAATACCAAGTCAGCTGAAGGCATTCAGAGCGGAGTCACGATCTTATCGAAGGCATATACGATCGATTCAGCGAATCCGATGGTTCTCAATCATCTGGCGAATCATTTCTTCTTCAAGCGTGATTTTCAAAAAACTCAAACTCTAGCTTTGCACGCCTTTCACAACACGGAGAACGAGGCGATCCGAGCGGAGAGCTGTTACCAGCTCGCTCGCTGTTTCCACATCCAGGAAGATTACGACCAAGCTTTCCAGTATTATTACCAGGCGACAAATTTTGCCTCTGCGAATTTCGTGTTGCCTCAATTCGGCCTTGGGCAGATGTACATGGCCCGGGGAGACAACGAGAATGCAATGTCGTGCTTCGAGAAAGTTTTAAAAGTTCATCCTAATAACTACGAGACCATGAAGATCTTGGGCTCACTCTACGCTCAATCGGGCAACCAGAACAAACGGGAGCAGGCCCGCAACTTCCTCAAGAAAGTCACCGAGCAGTTCCCAGACGATGTTGAAGCCTGGATCGAAATGGCTCAGATCTTGGAACAGAGCGACACTGCGGGAGCATTGCAGGCCTACGAGACTGTCAAGAGCATTTTACAAGAAGATCAAGCGGAATACCTCCGGAATTTTAACACATGGCGTCACTCGAGTATCGGCTCGGCAACTCGACGAGGCCAA